GTATCAGTGTGTTTAGGACAAAAAATGTAAATGTATCTTCCTTACTCTGTCCCCGTGGTTGAGATCACCAATATCAAGTAACTGGGCAAGCAGCAGCTGGGCACCCATGGGTTCAGACACCACAATGGTGTTTACGTCTGCCGGTGTGTGTGTGTGCAAATTTGCATGTGTGTCCACTGGAGAGCCAGCCAGACGTCTCTGGTCTAATATTTCCTCTCAGGAGAACAAATAATCCCTGTTCTGCCTTTATTCTCGACTTTCCCTGCCTCCCCTTTGAATTACTATATCTCCATTGAACTGCTTTCCGTTTTCTTCTCCTCCTCTCTGATGTTTTTCCTGTCTTCTCCCATTCTTCTTGCCCTCCCTGTTATCTATTGGTTCTCTTGCTTCCTCTTGCAACAAAGCGGCAGATAGAATCACAGGAGTTGGTTTAAGTTACTGTACACACACAAACTCGTGCACGCGCCCATGCACACACACTTTCTGCTGTGAACCAGGGTCAGTACCATGGGACGGAGCAACAATGGGTGTCTCAGAGGAGGCGATGTAACGTCTGCTGTTTACAGTACAATAACTTGACTATCAGCCCTATTCAGAGAGTGAAGAGCGGCACAAGAGAAGAGGTGAGGGTGAGGAGGCTGCTGAGTAGCGTCTCACCACATACGTTTACTCTCAGAGGAGCCTCTCGACACGACTCAATACTTCATTGATCATAAAGAAGCAAAGGATGAAGGTTAATTCAACATGTTTACTGTATGTTGCTGGGTGTGAGTTTATTTCGTGAATGGAAATCTAAAGGGTTCAGTCTGTACGGCTGTTTGAATGCTGATTCTCAACAGTACTTAGGAGCCGCATCTAAGTTTATTTGTATTCACATAATTTATTGATTCTTTTCTATATTTGTGTTTGCAAATATGCACCCTTCAGAGGAGGTGAGGGTGCTGTGTTTTAAGATGACGTGCATTAGACATGGCGGGGAGACAGTGGGTGACAGCAGATACGATCATTGACCTTAGCCTCAGCATCAGTACAGCCTCAGCGCCGTGGGTGAATAGAACCTGCAATGCTTCAGCTAAAATGTAAGGACACTGAAATGACTGCATCTTGTTGTATATATATTTTTATTGCAATAAATTATCAGCTACAGTGAACACAATGTTATGCTAAGGCAAATTTGGAGTTCGTTTAAGTTTTGTTTTTGTTTTTTTTTGTCAAACCCGAAGACAACACTGAGTTACCATGTTGTTCTTTTTAGTTTAATGTTGCCTGACAATTTGATGTTTGGATGGATGCTGGCAATGAGATGTGCCTAAGAATCACTTATCTTTTTTATTAATCTGTCTTTAGCCATCTTGCTACTACTTCGGTCTTTGTTGACTGACATTTTCCACAAAACGTTATTGTTAACATCAAGGACCAGCCTGCTCTCACCGAAAAAAAGTGTAATGATTGTCAATTCCGTTGACAACTCAGGTGCTCATCATTCTATTAAACTCATATGGAGAGGCTAAATTAACAGCATATTGTATGTAGTGCACATCATGCCCCACCAGAGGTCAATCTCTACTGGTGGAAAAGGCAACTGAGCTGAAAGACATGGCACCTGAGTGTGGTTGAGATAACAGGTTCGTTCGAGATGAGCCAGGCCTACGCAGATTCGATCACCGGCGATCGGCGCACAATGCATGCCGGTTAGTTTTGTGTCTGACTTCATCCCTTATTATTTTGCTTCTGTCTAGTTCGAATGAAGTATGTTTTATGATGAGTTAACATGGCAGGTGCGGGAGTTAGCGCTGCACACAAATCCCATCATGTACCATACAATTCATCAAACCTTCATACCTAGTGAACCTAGTGAAAATTTCAGGAGGGTATAAAGGTATGACGAAAGTAAATAACAACGAAGCCTAACTGAAGCAAAAGGGGAGATCAAATGATGTAGTACAAACAGCAGTCCACCAAAGGAGCTGGCCGGGAGAGAGAGGGATCAAAGAAACACAGGACTTTCACCAAGATTGCTACACAAGTCCCGTGTGAAACCAAAAGTCAACATATCAAACGTACCTATTTCAACCTTAAACCATGATATTTTTCTAAACCTAAAAAGTAGCTTTCTAACCCAGGTCTAACCACACAGTTTTAGAGCATGACTGTGACCCTTTTACAAAATTAAGCACGTTTTATCTCACGCTTAAAAACTGCGGAATGTTTGGAGGTTCATATACAGCTCAGGAAATTAAGCTCCAACCAGATTATTGCAACCGTTTCCGCAGTGGAAAGGAGCAAAGATATCAACTTTGCGAGCAAGTCTTATCTGATTGATAGTGGTCATGTAGATGTTACAGGTCCTGATTAGACCGACACAGTGGCCTTCAGCTACAAACTGTTGTGCTCTAGTGTTTTTGTGGTATTGTTACGTTTCATGATATTCATACATTTAGTCATCCACTGAGGTTCATCCATGTCAACATCTTTTTATTAATCATTTTTCACTAGATAACGGCAGAATTTCTCTGTAACACACTCTGTAATTTTGGTGTTAATCGGATAATGACCCACTACTTTCTTACGTCAAGGACACAAACACAGAGGGGTGCAGACCAGTGTAAGCTTGCACGCCCTTTTCTAGTAGACCATGCTTCATCCACCAAATCTTCTACGCTAGCATGCCTTCATCAGGGTTAATCACCACCCCAATAATGACCCAACCACCACTATCACGGGACACAAAAACTAGGCTATGATTCCACTGATAAAACCAGTCCAAACCCACAAGTGACCCTGTGTTACCATTTGACCACTTCAACTCCTTACATACACACACACTAACAAATAACAAATGAGAGCAGGCACACACACACACACACACACACACACACACACACAGCTGCATTTTAAAGAGTCAATTAGCCTTTGAAAACTTGACGACTACTCACTTTTAGAGATGGGAAGTGTTTCCTCCAGAGCACTGACATCCACAGCATAATGCCATTTAATAAAAACATTATCAAACTTAATATAGGAAATATAATGACTCAGCACTTTATCTCACTGTTAATTACAACATCACATCTCTTAATGAAAACCCACTGTGTGTACGTGTGTGTGAGTGTTTGGCTCACTTAATGAAAATACTGTGTATGTGTGTGTGTGTGTCCGTGTGAGTGTGTGAAATCAAAAACAAGTCCTTTATTAAGTATGAAATTCACACCTGTTATGGAAAACTACCTTGAGGATATACGTGCGCAAACACACACACACACACACACACACACACACACAACACACTCAAAAAAATGCATTAATAAGCAGACAAAGAACAACTTGACAAAGACATTTGCACATTTACATTTCTGCGCTTACATCTATACAATCAAGTGAACACTGACTCTGAAACACACATGCAGAAAACAAATGACTGCTCAGCTAAATCGCGATCATTAATTAAATTAATTAGCAGGACGTTCTTTTGTGTTTTGCTGCCCTCAACTACTGTACCAGCCTCCTCCCCCTCTCCGACCATCGGGAAGAACACTGAGTGGGGGTGTACAGTACATATCCATTTGAGAGATCTACACCACTTGGCTGTTTCATTTATTTTGCTGATTTAAATAAAGGTGGATTTAGACTTGTTAATGTGTTTGGTAATCACATTATTGAGGAGAAACTGCTGTAGCTTATAACTTTATTCCATGATGCTTTAACAGCAATGAAACCTTGCTGTTGATGACCTTGATGAAACCTTTCACTGACAAACAAAATATACTAAATCTTGAATGCCTACAAAATCCTACAGTACTATAAACCTTTATGACATGGCTTTACAAATCGGAACAAAAATTTAGCCTCTCCTGCCTTTAATTAATGCCATTAGGTTTCCATAGACGAAAACATTCTTTCATTGAACAGGAGGAATTCTTTAATAAATTAGGACCAAATGACAAATGGACTGCACTTTCGTATAAAGCACTTTTCTACCTCAACAGATGGAAAAATGCTTTATGATTTGCCTCTGATTTATCCATTCACACACACACACACACACACACACACACACACAAACCGCCTGCTTATCAGGTGACAATTTGTGTTTCAGTGTCTTGCACAAGGACACTTTAACATGTGGACAGGAGGAGCGGGGCATCAAACCGGCAATTAGTAGACAACCCTCTCTACCTCCTGAGAGACAGACACCCCAACGGAAAGGAATAGAAAAGTTTCTGGCTATGTAACAGCTGCCACTGGAACATACTGCAATTTACTGCTTTGACCAACACTGACATCACCAAACAAGTTTTGTATAATTGTACACGTATGAAATCTGGGTTTTGCTTCCACTCGGACATTTGCATAAAAAATAAATAAATAAATAAAAAAACACTGTAGTTAATGTCTTTTGGCAACAAACGGATGACAGAATTTGGCGAGAGCAGAACAAGTGACGCTTTATCCTCTTTTCCTCTCACACACTACAACCAGCAGACTCACAGCAGGATGTAAAGATTCCATCACATGGCTGATTTTCCTTTTTGTTGAAAAAATGGAGAACGGGATTCACTGTGATTCCACCATAGGAAATGTATATGTAGAAGAATTAAATCTTTATATTAAAAATGGATGTCACAGTCATTAGCTGTGTTTTGTCAGTGCCAAGACAGGTCTGAGGCATCAGCTACAAGTGTGTAGATTCAGACTCGAGAAATGTGAGAGTATTCAGAGATGCTGGGTTATTGCTAAGGATGCAGCGAGACATTAGAGTTGGTTGGGCACTGTATGTCGCTGTCCTATTAAAAATGAGCATGATTCAAAATCAAGTATGCATACGTTCAAAGGACCACGATTAAGACTGAACATTTTTAAATCAGTTGGAATGAGTAAATATATGAGTGCTCTGTAGTTCAAACTGCAAACTGTTAAAAACTGCATCTGGCATGTGAGGTGTTGAGCACAGAGGGAAAGAACACCAAAAAGAGAAAAAGAAAGTTAAGATGACGTCCTACCATTGTCGCTGTCTGACTTGTTCTCGTGCTCGGTGTCGGTGAGAGTCAGCACAGAGTTGGAGCGGCTGGACAGACAGGAACTCCTCCCTGACGATTTACCCAGACCCCCGCGGCCCCACAGCCTCATGGCGCGCTCTGGCGACATCACAGCCTGACTGTCGGTATCCAGGTCCGGGCCTGTGCCGACTGAGAAGCCACGGTGGGGGAGGCCCATCTCGGAGCAGAACGCCAGGCCACGACGTGAAGGCGGCTCGCAGATTCCCAGCTGACGGAGACTGAAGTGCTGACCTGAAACAGAAACAGATGGAGATTTAACTACTGTGTGGAAATGTGATTATTTTATTATACATTATGGTGAGTGCATGTCTCACTGCTTATTGCTTATTACTATAAATATTAAGAATTTCATTTTATATATTTATCTTTTATACCAACTTCATTACAAGATAAAAATCTGACATTTACATCAATATATACATCTTTAAATGTTCCTTCAAATATGAATGATGATAAGATAAAGACAAGTCCATGATAACTTCCCAATGGTGATAAAAACACATGATGTTACAAGATGTCTTTACACAAGAAATACTTTATAGTAAAGCTTTGGAAAAATAAGCTGAAAAACATATGTGTTTTTAACTGATTCTACATTGTTAAATTAAAAAAAAAGAGACATAACCCTGACATTCATGTTCTCTTCTCATCTCCTAGATTATTTATATGCAAAAGAGTTTATTGCCTGATGCTAAATTAAGTCGTGAAAAATCACAGTTTCACAGAAGCCAAGGATGTGTCTTCCACTTGTTTGTTTTGTCTGACTAAACAATCCGTAAAATAAAAATATTAAATGTACAAAAACATGTAAGTCCTTCTTTCTTTGACTTTGATGAAGCCTCTGTGGTGTTGAAAAATCTGATCGCACGTTTAAAGGCTGTAAATGAATCAGTGTGCTCCACTCCTTTTTTCTCCCTTGGAATTTAAATCCTCATATTTGTGAAGCTGGAACCAGATATAACCAGATAACATCTGACAGTTTTGCTTGATAAATTACTTGGATTAATCTATCATTAAAACTGCTCTCAATTAATTTTCTGTTAAGCGACTAATTGATTAATTGTCTGACTGTGTCAAACCATCACAGACACATGTGGTCTTGCTTTTGAGTGTGAGAATGTGGCAAAGACGATCTCAGTTAAAAAAGGAAAACACACACGCGCAGACACACACACACACACACACACACACACACACACACACACACACACACACACACACACAATGACAGCAGCTGCTACCCGTAGAGTGAGCCTGACTCATGCAGCATCTCACTTATTCTATTGCGAAGAAGAAAAGCCTTGGCCCTGGTTAGGGACTGTAAAACCACAGCAATGCTTTCAGGGAGGACAGTGGTTGAAAAAGAAATTATAGAAGACAATTCTAGCCGTGGAAATAGAAGCAGGAACGCAGAAGATGAACCAGACAGAGAAGGTGAATACTTATTGACTAGATCCCTTAAATCCCATTTAGTCATTACAGGAGAGGAGACAGATTACCAGCGCTTTAAGCCTGGAGACTATTAAAATATACACTGTGAAGGTAGCGCAAGTCACATGAGGACGCATGTCATTGCTACAGATTCTTTGATACCAGTTACTCAGAAAAAACTGTAAAAAAACAAGAAGACTCAAGGCTGAAACTGATGTAATTTTGAATCACAAAAGACACATATAAAACCAAGACTGTGGCAAAGAAATAAAAAAGAAACAAATATAAAAGTTTCAGTAATGGAATATGTTTTTATATCTTCAAAAGGTCAGCAGTTGACAGCCATCTTATACTTTAGACTGCTGTATTTTTTTAAAGTGTATGACGAACCCGTAATAAATCAACCCGTCAACTCTTATGTCAAAACCCTCAGCTATAAAGCGCCCAACTATTCCAAGATTAGAGTCATGATGAGCCTCTGATTAATGATATAAAATCAATTGATACAACACTGGTTATTAATGAAGAAGCCCTAATCTGTTTGTACTTGTATTAATTAGGATGCTCATTAGTTGATGCAGAAACGTTAACTACTCTTTCTGGGGTCCACACAATTAGACAGAGACAAATACTTCCACAAAAATATGCATTCATGAAGATTATTACAATTCTCTTTGGTGTAAATTAAATACATTTTTCATGGTTTATATGATCAAAGATGCAAAATGATGTTTCTCAAATTTCATGTCTAAAAACTGATTGATGAGTAAGGATTTGCAGTTGCTTAATGGATGCAGAGCTGTATGCCTTTTCTGTGATTATATTACATCAAACTTTTTTTTCAGTTCCCCCAAAAACCAAAATGAACAAGGTTAATAATGGGTGTTTCAGTAGGGGCTCTTTCTTTCTTTTTCTTTCTTTCTTTGTCTTCCTTCCTTTTTTTCTTTCTTTCCAAAAGAGAAATCTTTAATATTTGAGAACATGCAGACTAGGGCAAGTATTTCATAGTGGATTATAAATTCAAAATACTTCTTTTCATTAAATTTAATAAATCATCAGGAGTAACTCTTTTTACATCGACTGGAAATGAGCTGAAATCAGGTTCAAATAACACGTGTGATAATCCTTTAAAATATAAATGAAAAGAAGACAAACAAATCATCTGTAGAATCTCAGTATGTGCCTCTTCATCTTTAATCAGCTAATGAAAAGGGAAATTATAAAAGCTTTCCGTAATTAATGGCACAACAAGAGATAACGAGTGCTGCCGTTCAATTAAAAGTTATATTAATTTTAAATGAGCTCCAATTAGGCCAGCAGTGAAAACGAAGGAGATAAGATGATTGAGTAATTATGACTTTTTCATTTCTCAAATATTGACGCTGTGTTAATTGGAACTTGAGAACAATGAATGCGCTTCTGTGGTTAGGCTTTTTTTTTTTCTTTTAATGTGCTATTTTTACAATTTTCTCTATTTCTTTCACAAGACTTTAATGTGTCACTTTCAGTGATTCATTATACTGTAGCTATCAGCATACATAATTTTATTATTAAAATGATTCAACAGCTCTTTCCACTACCCCATCTGACCTGCATCTATCCATATTCACACTGTTAATGTGTTTTCCCCAAATGTGTAAACAACAAAACAACAAAAAGCAAAATACAAAGCATAAAGATTTACATTAACGCAGGACATGTAAATCAGACATTACAGAAACACCTGACTAAATCCATACTAAGACACTAAAGACAAATCAATTCACAACTGGCAGAACTGAGCAATGTAAACATTTAAAAAAAAAAAAAAAAAAAACAACGGAGAGGAAATTAACATGACATTTCAAGGAGCTGATGGCAAGGCTACCAAAAGAACACCTGTTTAGTTCAAAATACACTATTCTGAGTGTTGTTGCTTTAAGCGGAGGAGGCACGGGGAGCATATGTGTGGGTGCATGTGGACTCTCACCTTGTCTGTTATAATCATCCTGTTCACGGTGAACCATGTCCTTGTATCCCTTTGTCGTCCCGTACAGCAACCTGTCAACAACCAAGGACAAATGCCGTCAGTTGTGTTACTATACTAAAGGACAGTCCTTCAGAATAAATCCAGCTTTGTTCTGCCCTTTTGTTGCATTCACAGGCACCAACGAGTTGGAATTACAGTTAGGCATCAACAAAAACAAAAGACGGCAAAACAGTGTCAAGGCTGATCACTGCTAGTGGTGGAGAACAATTGTTCTCTACAGCTGGTGCAATAATCCTGCTTGAATGGATCACAACAGTTAGTAAAAGCTCAACTGTATATTGCTCACTTGCTCATAGTACTGTTGGATGTACTGTTATAGGGTGACGGGTGTTGGGAGCATCTTGAAACTCAGTGCAGAGGCCACAAATTAAAGTGAAGTGAGTTATATTATGCAATCTGAGAATATGGCTTGTTACAGCTTAAGAGCTAATAACTGAAAGAGTGATTAAAAAGGACAACAGGAAATTAACTGGGACATTAAGTCCAGCTGTATTTCCGAAGTTAACAAAATGCATGTTCTTTACGAGTCTGCTGCATTGTTCACTCTCCTCTCTTCCTGAAATAGAACAACACGGGTCATATTTTTTGTCAATATGATCTGCTTTAATATCATTTACATACATACCTGACAATAGTTAATTAACACACAGCAAAAACTATGTCCTCAACTCAGGTGGGTGGCTCGCACACACACAAAACCACAATGAGGAGAGAGAAACATTTGGGAGACGACATTCGAGAACTACAAGCAGATGGAATTGGTTTAAAATTAAAATTATATTCTTTTATATTCTTTTTTTCAGGAATCCATGGAAGTAGCATTTAATTTACATTTCACTGTTCTGCCTGTCAGATGTATAATGTATGTCCTTTACTGATTTTTGTTGGATAATCGAAGGTTGCTGGTAAAAAAAAATGTGGCACTGTGGTGAAATTGATTTTCATTCACTGAGAATAAAGCAGCCCTAATGTGGTTCAATCATCAGTAATCAGCACAACTCCAATAAAACTCCAGTAAACGTTCAAACTATATTCATATATAACATCTACTGCACCGTATCTACACTGCTCTTCCAGGAAACTAGCCTAAAACACATGTTTCGAATATTATCAGGTCTTTACTGCGAATGGCTGTTATCAGTTGTGATTACTGCCATTATAATCCTTCAGAGGGGACGACTGCAGGAGGCCAGAAAGTGCATGTACAACATGTCCCTTTTAAACTCTTTGTTAAAGTTGTGAAACGGTGGCAGTTTGGTGAGGTTTAGCACAAAAACTATGCCGGTTTAGGAAAATATCATCATTTGGGTTAAAATAATTACGTGTGTGGCGTAACTTAACTTACCCTAAGTATGTGACACTAATTTTGCTAACTTATGCATCTAAATTAAACATACTGATAATAAATGATAATAATAATATCACACTTTATTTGTATAGCACTTATGAAAACACAGTTACAAAGTGCTTTATAAGACAAATAAAATAGCATACACCATCAAGATAAAAACAGCAATAAAACCATTAAACGTAGGCTAAGACCAGATAAATCAGAGTGTGTAATAAAGATAAATTATTAATAAAACTGATTGAAAAAAAAAAAGGATTAAAAAAACTAGACACACAACAGATTTACTGTAAAAAAAAAATCTGTTCTGTTGCCGCAGAAACAGTTCAGAGGGTCTACACTACACTACAACAGGGCTGTGCTGTATTTAACTGCAGAGACTCTGCCCTCTGCCTGTGTGTTTTTATTGTCATCTTATTTCACTGTTTTTGGGCGTTCCTGGGCACAGTAGGTGCAAGTGAGGTCAGGACTTTATAAAAAGGTAGCGACCAGCTGTCAGATCATAAGTAGCAAAGATCCAAGAGGAAGAGAAAGAGGGACAGGACACCTAAAAAGGCATATATAGGGAATAAGAGTGAGTCTGGCTTTCACTTTCGCTGACGATATTGTTTACAAACAGTAAAAGTAAAGTGATAATGTTTACTATTGCCTGTCTGCCATCCACTACTACATACTTATATTTATTTATCAGCATTTTTATCCTCAATGAATGTCCTGTGTTTTTATGTTCGTTGTTGGAATGCATCACTTGAGAGTCGCAACTACTTCATCGTATTCCTATGCAATGACAATAAAGACTTTTTATACTTCTAGACTAGGCTTCTAACCGACAATTCCTAAAACACATGCCGTTAAATCTATGCTCCCGATGACAACTGCTAACAGCTTTTTAATGGGCTGATAACATTTGAAGCAAGTGCCTAAAACTGTCTCTCAATATGACATGTTTTGATGAAATTATCAGTATAACCAGGAAGTGCTTTAGACTGATCATGTTGGTTCAAACTTTCTTATGAGACAAGAAATAACAGCTTAGGGAAGCAGAAATCACCCACAGTAAAAGGTAGCTTTTATAGTCAAGTCTGCTGTCTGCAGTGGTTTGTTTAATGGTGTGCAGACATGGAAAAAAAGTATTAATAATTGTATGATCCTCCCGGTGAAGAAACGCTGAAGCTTTCAGTTTCTCTCTGAAGTTACCAAACACACTGTAGGTCAAATTGTCTACTCAAGACAACATTATTCAAAGATCTGTTTTTGTGCTTTACACAGCCATGACACAGCCCCAGTATTATCCACTGAGTTTATCAAAATGGAACATTATAATGTGTGCAACTCCATTTCTAACCTGGTCTGGTCTTGGTGCTGGTCAAAGGCCTTGAGTGTTTCACTGGAGGAGTAGGACTTCTGAGTGGGGACCCGGAGTCCCTGGGAACCAATTGCACAGTCTTCACTGTCCCCTGATGAACCTAGCATGGATAGAAACACACACAAGCAGATACACACACATACTGTATATAAGCACAAAATCATGCAAACACACAGATAACAGACACTGTTGTCCTTCCTCCAGGCTGGATTGTGTTATTTACAGTTCCCAGTCTGTTTAAGTGACACTCTCAGACATGTACATACAGTATAAAGCAGCTATGAGATGCCATTCTTGATGAGTTTACTGTACTTTATGTCTATTTGAGTTTTAGAATGATTCTGGAGCTACTCAATATCTCAGTACAGCTCTGGTCAATATTCACACCAAGCACACAAATATAATTTTTTCAAGTATCTTTGAGAGCACACAGAGGGTCCTTTGGCACATGGACTTTTTATTTATAAGAGCAGATGATTTATTTGTTGAGGAGACAGTTTCACTGGCTGCAAGCAGGATGATTCTCACCTTATTCATTTTGTCTCCAACACAAACTATAATTCTGTCCGAAGTGCAGTAAATATTCTATGGCTCCTGGAGATCAGCTCCAGAGTTGTAGGTTGATCTATGGAGGACTGCTCTCTCAGCAGCTGGACTAAGTACAGCCTCAGGCCAGCTGGAAAAATCACCCAGGACCTCTCTCATGTACTGCACAATGAATATCAACGTCTGCCTTCTGGGAAGAACTGCAAGCTATTCAGATGTATTTTTTGGCCCCATAACTTTCCGAGCACATCAACTGATCTCACACACACACACACACACACACACACACACACACACACACACATAGATGCACGCTTGACAGTGACTGTCTAAGCACTGTAATGCATCTTTACAGCACTGTCTGCATGGTGCTTTCAGTTGTATGAAACCAAATTCATTTTAAATGTGCCACACTGCCACAGTTCTATGCGAACCCTCAACTGGTTGTGATCTGATTGGCTGTGAAATGCTTGGCAGTACATATTGTACTTTAGGTTTGGAGGTAAATGAGTGTCCCTTCACATTTCAGCTCTTTCAAAAAGAGTTCACAGAGTGTTGATTAAGCCTATCGCTGCAAGGGAAAGCTCTCTGAACTTCGCAGTAAAACCAGAGCTATGACGTCTGTAGCAACTTCCCCGCACTGGCACACCAGAAGTGATGCGTTTCACATAAACAAGCCAGAGCTAAAGAGGACAGGAAGGGAGGAGAGACCGTAACGATGGAAGAGCTAGGAAAATGGCCAAAGCTATAGTGGAGAATGCTGAGAAGCGTCCAAGAAAAGTTTCTGAAGTGGATGTTCCAGATAAAAAATAAATTTGGTGTTCAGAAGACAGATTAAAGAAAAAGAAAGCGTTCGACAATGAGGACAAACATTGATCACCATTGGTGTAGCGTTTTTTTTTTTTGTTGGCGAGCGCTCACAGAAGAGAAGGGACTAAGGGCACACACACTGCACTTTACCGTTCAAAACGTGCATGTACAGAACGGGCCAATTGCTGCTTAAAGGTTTCTCGAGAGCCACGCATCCAAACAGATTTGTAAAGAGTGCTCCTGGGGGCAGATGCAGCAAGATAGAAGTTCAACACCGCTAAAAAATGTGATCTTCTCACACTTTGATAAACACTTGGTTTGTCAATGGAAGGCAAAGTTGAAATATATTGTATGTGAGTGGGATTTGAGAGGATCTGATGTCGGATATCACACATCAGCAGCAGCATGTTTCTACAGAGCAGACAAATGAAACATTGACTCTAGAAAGGGCTTTTTACATTTTTACATTACCTGAAGGCCATGATAGGTTTAGGAGGGGTTAGGAAAGAGGTATTCAGTTGATGCTGTTTTCAACCTCACTGCTAGATGTCACTAAATCCTACACACTGCACGTTTAATATATATTTTTCAGTATCATACAGTATGTCAGTGGTCCCTAATTTTAAGGCCGGCAAAAGATCTCTGAGTGCAACTGACCCTCTGACTGACTCGACTAAGTAATGACTGAAGAAACAAACAATTGAGCAAATAAATGAATGACTGTAAGACAGATTGAGCTAACCGAGCTACTCACCAGTGTAAGGTCCCTCCTTGTCTCTGCGGCCCTTGGTGAGTGAGCAGTATGGACGTCGCTCTTTCACTTCCATAGTGCTTCTGCTTGTGCTGCTGGCAAACATACAGGCATGCTGCTGTACAGCTACGTAGACAGAAAGACAGACAGACAGACAGGCAGAGAGCAGAAAGAAAGACAAAGAGAGATATAGGATGAAGACAGAGAGAGAGCGTCAGGGTTGTTGGACTCCACCTGCAGACACACAGAGAGACAAAAAGGAGTAATCAATGACAAAGTCAAGGAATGAATGATGAGCGATGACTGTTACATTTTAAACTGACATCAGGGTGTGTTAATCATCAACTACAACAACAGTGTATGCAGTGGGTGCTCTTGTGGTGACTTGATTAAAAATAGCAGCAGCACACTCTGTGTTTCGTTCATTCTCATTAGTTGACATGGATACCAAAGAGACATGTTCTGCAAGCTGAACATGTCCAGTTTGTTCTTAAAGCTTTGCACAAATAGGGACAGATAGGCAGAGGCCAAGAGGCTAATTCATATTTACAGTCAGGTTAGATGGAAACTGATTTGCAGGCTTGTTTGATCAGACATTCACATGTCATGTTGTATGTCTCCATTCATTTGGCTCATCAATTCCTCTGTAAATAGATTCTTTATTCATAAATTTAATGAAGTTTCCCAGTCCACTGAATAGCAAACCCGCCTCAAAGAATCACATTAGTATGGAGGTCGCAAAGCTGCCCTCATGCCCCTTAGTGTAAACCACATGTACCTGCACGCATAGCTGCACTGACATCTGTTTCATCACAGCGTGCTTGAACAGTTAGCTGCTCTCCTTATGAATGTAAATGAATCGTCACCTCACTGTAACACTTTAACCTGTCTTTAAGATGTCAGGCTGTCACTGTCACTAGCCTCAGGAGAATTCTCCACCAGTGCAGTACCAAAACTTAAGTGTGGTTTCTAAAGTTGACCCACCAAAACTGACAGGACGAGTTAACTCATACAGTGTTTCTTAGGGGTGATCTATCCTGGAAAGCATTGTGATCATTGATATTTTATTTGCACAAACCAAAACAGTAGAGCAGGTCATGCAAGGGGACAAATTTGGTTGTACTAAAAGACTCTGAGACAAGAGCTGTGTTTGTTGTCCTTAAAGTTATGCTTTACATTTTGAGAGGAGGACAAATCAAAACCATAAAAACCCTCTGATAGTTCATAATGTGAATGCATGTAACTTGATTGTGCCATCTGGCATTTAATGTATATAAACAAAAACATAAGTGAGTGGGGTGTGGGTGGCAGCACATTTCTTCATCCATATTCTCTTTAGTTGCATTACACAACACAGAGCTGTGCAGAAAGAGAGTGTGAATGCACATAAAGTCAATGCCAAATTGTAAAAAGAGGCAAACAGAGGCACATCTCACCTAATTGTTTAAGTAATCTATTCAGCACTAATGTCAAATACCCTTATGCTGTTTTGAGGATTGCTGGTTTAGTTGATCTCATATGATTGCCAATTTAATATCTTTGTGTTTCGAAGCGTTTGTCAGACAAAGACAAACATTTTGAAAATGTAACCTTGGGCTCTGGGAAACTGTGAGGGAAAACTTTCACTATTATTATATTTTTTTTTATTCTAAACTATTCATAGATCTAACAAACAAACAAAAACCATTAAATGCTTCTTTAATTCTTTAATTCACTGATGGCTGTTTTAAGCCAAAAGACAAAAAGAGCAAAAACATTTCAACTATTGAATTCATACAAAAATACCATGCATGCATTTGGGGGAGAAATTTATCTTGGCTTGAGAGGATGGGAATTGACAAGATTTTACTGAGTGTTATCGATCCAAGTCTTTATTGATTCCCCTATTGGTCCCTGATCAATTTCCTGTGTGGAAAAAAGTAGGCCTACATAGGCTTTTAGCAACTGTTTTATCATCTCTAAGTCCAAACAAAGTGTACATGAAATGACAGATTTGTTTTCATTTAGGTTTTCTTAGTAAGAGAAAAAAATCTGCTCAGCCTGTCTGCATGCTCGATTAGCAGTGCCACTGATGTGTAGAGTGTCAGATACATGGCATTCCTGGATTTTAAACCCAAGTTGCTTAGCAAGATGTTTCAGCATGTTGCTGCCGTTTCCTCCCTTACTTGAAATTATAATTTTGCAGACATTACAAGCAACAGCATTGTCATTTTTGTTTGTGAAATAAAGCTACACCTTGGACTGTTCCTTCGTCTTCTTGTTGCACGTTTCTGGCAGCATATACCTCAGTTTGACATCATTGTTTTGCAACACGCAACTGTCAGAAAACCATGCCAATATTAATAAAAGAAATTCATAAGCTTGGAAGCACACGATTAAGATGGATCAGAGGATTTGGAACTGGTTCTTAACTGAAACTGGTTCTCGATTCTCATAGGACGGTTACTTACATTAGTCCATGACATTAACCTGACAAGAAGACTCTCTAAATTATCATAGCTTAGCCTTCATGCAGAATTGCTGATTGTCAGTTTATAAAAGGCACAGTTGCCAGGCTGGCTGTTTTTTGTGCTGTTCTTTATGCTGAGTTATAAGTAATGAGGTAGAATTGATCCTGAGATGGGACAGTAAGCTGATGGGATGGATCCACAGCCTGTCAGCAGTTCTTTGAGTCATGTGTGCCTCTTTGGATACACGTAGAGTCACCAGCTGCTGTCACTGGGGAGTTTTACAGTGAGAGCTTAACATGAGCCTCGGTACAGTATATCACCTGGAAGCAGCTCAAATACAAATAAATCAGTGCTGGCCTTTCAAAATGGGTCCAGCTTTCATTTTTTAATAGGTGGACAGAAAAGAAGGAGCGGGTGAGAAAGTTAGAGCTGGAATTTTATTTTGGGTGACCACACAGAAACCCAAAGGTTGTTAGAGGAAAAGAGGCAGGCACATAGGCAAGAAACGAGAATGAGAGATAACACAGGTTATAAAAGCCAAGTGTGATAAATATGTGGGGCAGTATTATTTTTGACTTCCTTTTGACTTGAGACAACAGTGAATTCAGACACAAGACAAGAAAGGTCAGACAAAAAAGTCAGTTTGCAAGAAGAGACATACAGAGAGGCTGAGCAATGCTGAGAGAGAGGGGGAAGTAAAGACAGCCAGTAGTGGTCAGACAGCTTTATAAGCCGGCAACTTAATCTGAGACACTGAGCCTTAAATCCCCTACCTTCTGGACCTGCATGCAAGTGTGTATGTGCATGTGTGTGTGTGTGTGTGTGTGTGTGTGTGTGTGTGTGTGTTATTATTAAAGTGTATGTTTGTTTGTGTGGTTGTATCATAATGCACTTTGCTGTCCAGACTACTTGGTTGAGGTATTCGGTGCCGTTATAGTCTTATTGTTAATGACAGCAGGACAAGAAGGACTAAGGCTGCTCTGAAGCAATATTGATCCAAGTCATTAATTTATCATGCCTGCGTATTTCTATTCAGATTATTGTGCCTGTTCTAGCACACATAGAGCCTGAACCCTTCACATCAGAGTGTTCACTTAACCTGACCTACAGGCCTTTGCACTGTAGAGGATCACCAGGGGAACCAGGAGGGAGCCTGTGCAAACATAACAAGAACATGCAAAGTATAAAGTAACACTCACCATGGAGCCACTATGATGCCAAGTGCTAATGAGATACATGATATTCATATATTAACTGCTGATCTGCATTGGGGTGGATAATCGTGGTGTGCCATGCCGTGAGCAAGGGCTGTGTTGGCGGGGGGCCCCTGAATGATTCAGAGGAACAGGAGGTGCTGTATATATTTATTCTCTCAGAGCTGTTGTTTAGCATCTTTTTTTCTTATAAATTGAACCTGAACAGAAAAAAGTAATCCCTTACATTAAAAATGGACTTTTGTTTCATGCCTATTATAATACAGAATGCATAAGACGTTACTAACTGACAGTATCTGGTCCATTTACACCATAGGGGGGTTTTCATTCAAGATGTCGGCACGCATAGTCGCAGCGACCCGGAGCTCTCCCTGTTCGGCTGCTTTTACTGTTTTATTGTTTTTACTTACTATTTATTACATATCTTAAAAATATAGATATAGATGTGGATGTGGTCATGAGGATGATGTGATGAGCGGGTGCCAACCTATCTACTTACCTACCTACGACACCTACCTATGACATCCATTCCCTCAGAGCATGTTTTAAACTGATGCTATGGAAATAAAGTGTCAAAAAGTCTATTCCAACCTCTATTGTCTCTTATATTGGTCACTAACTCATCACTTTCTGCAACTGCTGCACATGTTACACCTCTTCCTAGGATACAGAGAGCAAGCAAACATTGGCAGATGGAGCATGAAAAAGTGTCCAGATATACTTCGAGCGACAACGACATTCAGAAAGCCTATCAAGCCCTAAGCAAGCCAAGGCAATGGATTGCAGTTGTTTTGAAAATAGGTTGGTACAGTACATGTGGTTTACATTAAAATAGAGACAGGGCGTGTGGGTTTTCCTTTCATTTCATTTAATCTAATTTCGTTTCAATTCAATTCAATTCAACTGATTCAATTCAATTCAATTCAATTTGATTAAATGTAACTCAGTTCGACTTATTTATTCAGTTCAATTCAATTCAATTGATTAAATTCAACTGATTCAATTCAATTTAATTTGATTCAATTTGACTCAATTCAACTAATTTATTCAGTTCAATTCAATCCAATTGATTCAATTCAATTCAATTGATTCAATTCAATTCAATTTTATTAAATTTAACTCAGTTTGACTCATTTATTCAGTTCAATTCAATTCAATTGATTCAATTCAATTCAATTTGAGTCAATTCCACTAATTTATTCAGTTCAATTCAATTCAATTGATTCAATTAAATTCAATTCACTTGATTCAGTTCAATTCAATTCAATTGATTCAATTCAATTTGATTCAATTTGACTCAATTCGACTCATTTATTCAGTTCAATTCAATTCAATTGATTCAATTCAATTCAGTTTGATTCCATTCAAATCATTTATTCAGTTCAATTAAATTCAATGCAATTCAATTCAATTCTATTTGATTCATTCCAAAGGAAATTCCTGTGACAGAGAATGCTTCAAATTACAGTAACTCTAAGCAGAGTAACCACAATTTAAGAATCAAAACCAGTAACAACCAGCGGG